ATATTATGCCAGAACATGACTAACTATAACATTAAAGTTGGTTGAGATGAAAATACAGTGTGTTACAAGAGAAAAAACATCATGTTTTCACCAGAAATTAACGATCCAAATTAATTAATACATTTTCCAAGCTCACAATGCTGATGCATTGATGCTAATTAGGATGTTATTTGGAATATTATTCCATTCTTCAGTCATAAACTACTGACATTTTTTGGCATCCTCTTTTTAGTGTTTTTCTTTATAATTGCTCATGTTGATTTAAATCTGGACTGTTGGAGGGCCAGTCCAGATTTTGAAAACATTTTTTTTCAGATAAGGTTTGGTGATTCAGCTAGTATGTTTCAGATCATTGTCATGCTGAAATTACCAGTGTCCTCTAAACATGTGGATGTGATCTCTGATAATGTCAACATAAAAATTAGCATCTATTATTTGTCAAATTGATAATAATAATAGATTTTGCTTAAATTTTCTGCCTTGTCATTTTCTTTGCAATTATAATAATCCATGCTCAACTGCCTATTTTCCGAAAAAAAAAAATAAATAAAATCGTTATTTATATGCCTTTTTTCATAGTATACAAAATTTTCTGCCTATTTACACTCAATTTATTTACTGCAAGTTGGTTTGCATGTTATTTTTTAACCTATCACGTCAATCAATTACCGTATACTACCGTGAATAAGCACCCACCCTTATCATAGTGAGGGGTGCTTATTCACGATAGGATCGCCGACTCTTATCGGCACTATTAAAACGATCGGCAAATCATTACGTAAGTATAATCCACAACAACGTTAAGGGGTAGCTTACATAAGTAATTGCAGTAACCAGAAGCGTTCTATTATTTGTGTACGTGCCCAAGCACGATTGAGGTTTTGTAAGTCATCACGTACAAAGAATCTCATAACAACCTTGGGAATATAATAAACGCGTTATTTATCGACTGTCACTAATTTAATAATAAAAGTATGTCCATATTACAAGTGAAACAAAACTTGATATAAATACGCAGGTAGCGGTCAATTGTGGATGTTGCTAGCAAAATTCGGCGTTAATATTACTGTATTATCTTATCAAAATGCCAAAAAAAACTCGCAAAAGTTATCCTGTTTCCTTAAAACTTGATGCTATTAATTACGCAAAAAAAACGAGTAATCATGCTGCAGCACGATTGTTTTCTGTTGACCATACACAAATCAGTAGATGGCGAACGAAAGAGGAGGACCTAAAAAAGACAAGACAAACGAATCGTAGGGCGGGATCAGGTGCTTTACCATCATATCCGCTCGCTGAAGAATTACTAAGAAAATGGATATTAAATCAACGCGAAGGAGGAATAGCTGTTACACCTTATGACGTCAAACTCCAAATGAAACGATTGCTTGCTAATGATTTTAACCAGCTGTATCCTGATGCTGCCAATAGTTTCAAGGCTTCTGATCCATGGCTTCGACGTTTTATGAATCGTAATAATTTATCTCTCCGCCGACATACAAAAGTTTCTCAAAAACTCCCTAAAGATTTGCATGAAAAACTCTGTTCATTCCATAAATACATCCATTTGTTACAAAATAACAACAATTTTGAACTCAATTGCATTGCTAATATGGACGAGACGCCCATTTTCTTCGATATGATTGGTACACTTACAGTTGATTGCCGTGGTGCGCAATCAATACCTATACGTACAACGGGAAATGAGAAGAATAGACTCACCTGTGTCCTAGGGATATTGGCAGATGGAACGAAGCTCCAACCAATGGTTATTTTCAAGGGGAAGAGAATACCTAAAGGCTGTTATCCACCAGGTTTAGTTGTTAGAATGCAGAAAAACGGATGGATGGATGAAATTTTGATGAGAGATTGGCTAGACACAATTTTAATTTGGCTGCAGCGAGCGGAAGATGCGAGTCAAAAGAGGTCTTTATTAGTATTAGATTCGTTTGTAGGACATATTACTCAATCTGTGAAGGAGAAGTGTCGAGAGACGAATACTGTCCTGGGTGTCATTCCTGGCGGCCTCACATCTATTGTACAACCATTGGACGTAAGTATTAACAAGCCATTTAAAGACAGGCTTCGTGAGAAATGGAGAACATGGATGGCCACTGGAGAACACAGTTATACTAAAGCAGGAAACATAAAGAAGCCAGCAAATGATTTAATGTGCAGGTGGATTATGGAAGCGTGGAATAAAATTCCCGCAGAAATGATAGTTACATCTTTTAAGAAATGTGGCATCACAGATACTTTAGATAATTTAGACGATAGTGTGGAAGATGGGGAAGAAGAGAGGGATAAAGAGTATATTGTGGAAGATATTAGTGGAAACAAAGAGAACATAAACGAGTGTGAAATAAAAACTTTTGATTTGCATATTATTATGTAATGAAATATGGGTGGGGGTCATGCAGTTAATCTAGGTAATCCTGGGGGTGCTTATTCACGATACGATGCCATTTCTTATAAGGGGTGCTTATTCACGATGGGTGCTTATTCACGGTAGTATACGGTATCAAATAAAAACAAATATTCGAATTGTCAGAAAATGTCGGTTTGTTACCACATAGACTTGTTTATCAACGTTTCACTAACCTGTCCACAAATTATTCTGCGCAGTGATTTTGTCACAGCTTTCGATATACTGGGACATCAATTGAGTTTGTGTTTGTTACAACTTTTGTTCCATGCGGTTTTCAGCTTGAGCAAAAGTCATAGAACTAATTTGCAATATGATTAATCCTAGAGCATTTTGGATAGATGCAGTCAAAATTTATACAGTTATGCGTACGTAATGCTAACGATATAATAACAAGTTATTAGTATATACTAGCGGCGTTTATAAAAACATTAAAATAAATGCGGTTTGAAATTATGTCCCAAAGAGGTCTGTTAAAATTCACATATTTAAGAGAGTTTGATGTTATAATTGTATAAAAGTACATATATCGGGTGTACATTAAATTTACAATAGTAAAACTCACCGTGTTTTGTTGCGTTGAATAAACAGGGAGATATTCTACCAACACACGTTAAGTAGATTATTCGTTAATGTCCGCATTTCGAACGTGCCAGTGGGTGGAGGATTCTCGCTACATACACATTTTAGCAAGATCATATAATTACTTGCCAAGACCTAGTAACAGGCATCAGCGATTTAGAGTTGATGAGTTAAGTTTCAAGACCATCAACAACTCTTCGCCTTGACTGGTACAGACACATTACAACGGCAAACCTACGCGCAAACATATTCTGGCAAATATCATCTATTTGCAACTACTAACTATTTTGAGAAAATAATGTGTGTAAGCTTTTTTCAAGACGACGTCAAAAACAAGGCGAGATATAACCACGCAGCATACTCTTATAATTTGATTCACTGTACTATCTTCCACTAGCGGTCGACAATATATTTACAAAACGTACAAGTGTTTTTCTATTGATCTAAACATCGCATTCCACATTTGAACAGTTTGTTGTAAAGTGCTTGTGAAATTAAACGTTTATAAGCCAGTGAACAAGAAAACTTGTATCATACAGTGTGAGTTCACAATTTGCAGCTAATCATAAGTTTATGCAGTGAGTGCGATATATATACGGAGACTTCGCATTCAATAAATACCTGAATCATGTATGGCAAACTACATGGAGCAGTAAAAGGATACCCCCAAGTTAACGACAATTTTTATCGGCAGTATCCATTATTGTATTCGCTTTTCTATCTCCTCTTCTTCCATTTACTACCCATCACTATTGCTGATGTTTTGAATGCTGTCCTTTTGATATGCTTCTAGTTACCTTCTACCTCGTCGTAGAAAGTATTCTATTGCGTTATAATCCCAGGATGACATGGTGTGCTGTCGAAATTGACTTTGCAGGTTTACTTTCCTGCATATGCCAAAATTCGTCAGTCTGTCTATATCGATAATTAAAAGTACTAAACGTATGCCGAGCTTGAGATTGTAGATTGTAACACTGCCATTCTTGTCTGACAAATACCACAGGCTTCTCACGTATGGCCCGAAAACCTCCTGTTCAGGCCTGATCGGCGAACTAGTGGAGCTGTCAGTTCAACAAAAGTAAAGGGAAATAGACTATGTCGATAATTGTACAAGTAACACCAAGAAACTGACAAGCGCCACTCACCAATCATAAGACACCATCCTAAGTAAAAAACAACGCGACATAAAAATTATATTTGGTGAGAGAAGGAATAAGAATGATTGATTTGAAACAACATGATACAACCTTTGTGATTCAGAAAGTATCCATGCATATCAAACCCGAAAGTAATCCATTAAACAAACTCTATTTAGGGTTTGGTTTCTGTAAACAAGAGCAACCCACTCATTACCTGTTAAATATAAAACTATTCTTTTTTTGACGAGAATGAGCTATCAGTCTTTAACAGAATTTGATACATCGTTGCGTTAGTTCAAAGAATATGTACTATGTACAATAGACATTTTCATCTTCTTGTATATATAATTTCCCCGTCATCGGCTACCACATACGATTATGTAAACAATCGTTGCATTATATCCTACTAAAGTAATCGGAAGATATATTAGTTTAAAATGTCGGCAAAAGTATAATAGATCGAGAAAAGATGTAACAATACGAAAGTTAACTTACATGCAATGTGATTTCGTGAAACATGTCGATAGCTGGTTTCGCGTTATAATGTCAAGCCAGTTTTACGTTTAAGTTTCTGGTCTTACATTCCGAGGTAATGTAGAACTTCGAAGCATGACTATCAACAAAATAGCCCCATGACTTTCACCTTTCGATAAGGACCGCCCTCGACATGCAATCATCGTTTTATTGGCAATACCTGCTAAAAATACAAATAAGTGTATAGGATAAATAAATCAGTGTTTGCAAATAAATTTAATTGGACTTTTTTATCAATCCTTACACCACAAGACAAATCAGTCGCAAACCACATACCATCGCCGCAAACATCATGAATGCTTTGTATTGTAAGAGCAAGCCTTTTCAGCTCGAGCGCGACATCAACTATAGACAAGCAAATTATCACTAAATTGGTCTAATAGATAATAAAGACAATTTATTCATGTTATACATACCAGTGTGAGAGAACTTTGGTGAGTATGCTGCTCTTAGCCGTCCGCAGACGTTGTCACCCGCTCACCACGTTGAGGTGGCAGCACTTCGAGC